CTAACACAGCAGTGTAAATCAACTACACTTCAGTTAAAAAAATAAAGCTTATACCAAATCCTATCAAATAAATACAAAAAACGACCTTAATTTGTGTCCTATCATTCAACAAGTACAAAAGATCATCTTTTGTGGAGGAGCTAAACAGAAAGCAGAGCCGTGCATTATGACATAAGACTTTATTTCCAAGTCAAGCTTTCAAGGGAGCTGCAGGTTTGCAGAGGACGGACTTAAGTGAGCTGCTGTACCTGTAAACTGAGACAGGATGGACTCCAAATTCCATCCTTTAAAACAGAGGTCTTGGAGATTTTTCAGGCAGCAGATTGTTCTTTGGTCAAGCCGTGAATAGTGTGACCATGGTGGTAATTAATAAACATTCTAGATCTCCTTTCCTAATACACTGAAGTCTTCCCAGGTGACGGATGGGACAGTAATCCCAGGAAAACACTTTTTGGATTCACTTCTTTTTTGTTTGAAGAGAGAACATTTTACACATAGCATCACCCTGTGCTGGGCTCTGCTAACAGCAGCTTCTCCAGGTGGTTCGCAAATGGGGCTGGATAATCTACGTAGAGTGTGGCTCCCAGGCAGGAAATGGGAGCAGGGAAAATGCTACAATATAGTGGCTCCTCGGGGAGGATTTTGTCTCTCTGGGTGTCTTCTACCTTGGCTGAAGTGGCTCGGCAGCTACGTGTCGTGCTATCTTTGGTTGCCAGATGACTAACCCAGGCACAAGTTCATTAACAGGAGGGAAGTGGGAGGAACAAAACTATTCAAGATTTTCTTGACCTTCTCCGCCTGGCTTACCATGATGAATACTGTCAGGAGGCAGATGCTCATCAGCATAATAGAGAAGCTGTCCAGGAACCAGGTACACCAAATCACTGTGTTGGAGACACCCTGATTTTTCAAGGTCTCCTTCAGTCTCAACTCCTTCTCCAAGACGATGCTCTTTACAGTCATGGAGACAGAGTAGATCCAGGCCAGCACCATGAAGATAGGGAAACAGCGGTTCAGGATGATCATAAAACTAAAGCAAGAGAGAGAAGCAGAGTAGTAGACTGTCCTGTGCCTGGTGGAGGGGGAGCAAGTGTTTGTTGAGAACAAAGCCCAGGTGGAGGGAAAGGCAGAAGAATCGCCACTGGGTGTTCAACGGACTTGAATCTTTTAATACATTGCACTTTGCCCTGAAGGGTTACGCTGCCTTTAGAGCAAGATGGTAGCCTTTTGGTTAGCCTAGATGAATGTTCTGTGAGTAAAATGTATAAATAAAATTAGACTATGTATGTTACACAATGTAGGCATTCTTGTAAGATCTCAGGTAGCTTTTTGGTTGGTCCAGATGAATGCTCTATAAGTAAACTATGCAAGTAAAATCATACTATGTATGTTACCTAGTATAGACCTCGTAAGATCTCACGGGAAAGGACTACAGACTTGACGATGTGGAATATGCCTGGAGTAGGTAGGTATAAGCTAACTAATACTGAAGTCCAGAAGGTGGACAAAGGGAACTGGTGGTGGTGAGAGCAATAATTGGACTCCCCAAGGGGTCAGCATTGTCTACCCTGGAGGATCAAACCCCAGTTACACAGGGAGCGGCACAAAGCGACTAATCAGTGTGGCACTTTCAGAGGCAACTGACCCATCAGTAAACCAACCAGTGACTCGGCAGTCACCAACCCCACAGCCCTGTCCCAGTGGAGTGTATCCACGGGTGTTCCGTCTGGAATGACTCTACTGTGAACTTCATGTATGTTTTCCCTGTGCTCGGTGTGCTAGTAAAGCCCTTGAGATTATTATCCGCTGGAAACTACTGGGTGTCACGGGCAGGGCCCAGTTCCAGCATGGGAGGGTTTCTCTCAAGATGGCCCCAGGGAGGCTGAATTCTGAGGCTAAATTCACAAGCCTTCTGAGATGGGCCACCAGAGGGCTCTCCCACACTGAATGGCCAGAATTCTTGCTGCCTCCTCACTCCCTACTTCACTTCCCCGCCAGTCACCTCTATTCTGATCTTAAAAGTGGAACCGGGCTTTTGGCTGGGCTCCACTTCCGATCTCTGCCTATTGTCCAAACCCAAACCGACTGCAGAACAGGCCTGCTATCCCTTCTATTTTCCTGTAGAGCTGAGGAACGAGAACCGATCAGACCAAGGTGTTATGCCCACACTGGGCTTTATTCTACTGCCTTGCCAGCTGGCAATGCGACTCTTCCTCTCTGCAGGCTGTATCCCTCTCCTCCCCGAACCCCGCAGACACACACATACATTATGGTGAACATCTCAGTTTTTATTTTTTTTCCCTAAGAGTTGAGTCCCTAAGTCAACTGTAGATCTCTGCTGCTGTCCTGGGAGCATTTCTGTCCATCCACCATGGTAAGTGAGCCCTCCCAGCCCCTCTTCCTCTTTGTCCCTCTCTCTACCACCCCCCAAATGCACTTTCAGAAAATAGTAGGCTACTTGCTTAGCTTGCTACTGGCCATCACATGCACAGGCCTGGGAAAGGCGGTGGGCAGGGAGGGAGGGCCCAAGCTCATCCAACACATCCCTCTACCTTTTCATTAAGCACACATCATGGGAATGTTAATTAGGGATGGAGCTGCATTATTCCAAGGCTCCTAGGAACCGGCCCTACTTGTGATGCAGAGTCCTAATTTGCTGATTTGGCAATCACTGGGCAAACACTGACCTGAACCCTTCCACATACCAAACATACTACGTAGTGGAAAATTTAAAAGCCTTTGTCCCCTCCCCCAACCTCACTTCCCTGCTTTAATTTTCACCTTCCCTTTTCTACCCACAACACCAACTCCTTTCTCCACTTTACTTGTCCATCGGGCCCTGCCTGGAGGGAGCCGGGGAGAAGCAGGCTCCTCAGTCAGAGCTCAATTCTCCTCGAGCTGGCCCCAGGCCCCAGGTTGTTTTCCAGAAAGATTGAAGCCTGGGGAGCACCCCTTCCCTGCCCCACCCCAGCAGCCTGGTTAGCTTGTCCGGGAGGGGGACTAGGACCCTGGACTCACGAGTCATCCACGAAGCAGGGGTAAGGCATCTGCTGGAGATAGACTCCAATTGGAACCTCAGCCTGGGCCTGGCTCCTCGTGATCCCCTGTTCAACCATGTCCTGCAGATAGGCAAACCCTCCCCAGATGTACCGGAAGTCTTCCACGGGGTCAGCTCTGGGGCCAGAATCCCAGTACCTAAGAAGAAATCAGAGGAAGGGACACAGGATGCAAATGGGAACAGACAGCTCACCCCCCCTCACAAGGGTGAGGGGATTCGGTACTCACGCTCCGAAACTGCCCCCTGAACTCTTTCACACTATCCGATTCTATTTTCCAGTTCACAGTTTAAGTCTCAGTTATGAATATTAGCTTCTAATTGCTTTCATTCAAGGACTCTCCTCTGAGCTTTACAAAATATCTTATTCCCTCTGATTTAACTTAATTTTATTGATTTATAGGCTCAGTCCAGTCTCAATCCCCTACTCTGTACCAAATGCAATTTTCCAGTGACTTTGCTGAAACCTCATTTGCAGAATCTCTATGTGAAGATAATTTAATACCTAGAGATTTTTGCCTCCAAACTACGTGAAGGCCAGCCAGGGACAAGTGCTGAGTTGAGAGGGTGAAGGCAGAGTAGCTGAGCTCTCCTGGTCCCGCCAACCAGCAGGGCCAAGTGGCTAGCTTAGTGGTTCGACACCAAAGTGTTTCTGTGCCTTTCCAAGTATCCTTCTGCCCCAGGAGGAGACAGATGGCCTGAGCACACAGGAGCCCCCTTTCCTTGCCTCACACTTCGTTGGGGATGCCCAGGGTCTTCTGAGATCGCCTGAAACATCACCTGTCTTTGATCTTATTGGTCTTCTCCACCACGTCTATGTCCATTCGGATCTTGTACTTCACGTGGGATGGCAGGGAGCTGGTCCAGGGATACATGTCCGGGAATACCACACCAGCCCAGAACCTGTTTTCCTCCAGCAGAGACAGGGCTCGTTGGGTGAGCTGAAATTCATCATCGTAGCTTTCAAACTTATCCAGGATCAAGCACTGCAGATAATCACAAAGACTGAAACAGTCTGAGGGATACCAACCACAAAGACTCAACTGCAAAAAAAGACAGAGGATCAGGGCTGCTGCCCCAGGGGATGGGTCAAAGGCAAGGAGACCTATAAACTTACTGTTTGCTTAACTTTGGGTCTGATGTCAATTTCTAGTGTGTCTAGATTTGGGGGTGAAAGGGGGGCTTAGAAAAGCTGACTCGCTCTCATCCCTAAAGATCTAGTGCACTATTGGGCTGTCCAAACACGCAAGTCATCAAAATGACAAAAATGCTCACAGCTCTCCCTCCCCAGCACGGGGAGTCAAGGGAGCGGGGTCACATCGGATACAGGCTGCTTTGAAGATCAGAAAGCCTGCCGATTAAAGAGTTTTAAAGAGAGAGAGAAACAGTCCCAGCGGTGAACCTTCCTGCCTCTCTGCAAACACACAAGGATGGCCAGCTGAGGGAGGAACAGGATGACGAGAGAAAATGACAGAGAGCCAAAATGACCTTGTCAGAGAGATCATTTCCAGCTACAACCTTTTGCCAGATAATGAGGATGGAGGAGGAATTTCCTAACATGTCTTTTTTCTCCCTGGGAAGAGAAAAAAATCATTGCTCACAAAAGAGCAAAACCAAGCCTTTCTTTTAATTTGAGTATTGGGAGTTGTTTTGGTAAAGCTCTCTGTCGTACTCAGATGTGCTTTTGTCCCCTCAACTTCCTATTTCTGTGATACACTAGGGTTATTGTGTCGACGTTTCTTTCTTAGAATGGAACTCACAAGAGGTCAGCTGTCTTGATTAATCTGTTCACGGAATACTTACTGAGAGCCTGCAATGTGCCAGAGCTGCTTGGCTCCGGGGTTACAAGGAAGAAAGAAAAAATCTCTTCCAGAAAGAAACTCCAGACCTAAAGAGGGAGAAGGTTGGAGTAAACTAACAGTCAGTACAAGAACGATCAGGTTCGGGTGGGAGCAGGCCCAAGGTAGTCTGGCCGCCCAGCAGAGGGAGGAGGCTAAGTCTACCTGGAGAAGTCCTGGAGGGCTGCCTGGAGGAACAGACTCCTGAGTAGGATGAGAATGAGCAGGAATTAGTCAAGAGAAGAAAGCAGGGG